GGGATCTAATTTGTTGATCCCTTTGGGGGTCTGGGTAAAGACGCCCGAACCTGTGATCATGTTTAGGGTTTAGGGTTTTGAAGTTTAGGGTTTAGGGTTCGTGTGTTTTTCATTGGTACTGATAGTAGGTACTGAAGGATAAGGTTCGTGGGTTTTGGGGGCTGTGGAACACCACAGCCCCCGGAACCCACGAACCTTCTCCTTCAGTACCCAATGAAAAACACACGAACCCTAAACCTTAAACCCTAAACTTATAAACCCTAAACCCTAAACCCTAAACATGATCACAGGTGCGGGCGTCTTACTCATCAGCAAAGGTGTCTGAAGACTCTCCTTGCAAACCTAGACCGGACTGCTGTTCCCAGACCCCTGGGAGGATGTAAAAATTAGATCCCCTATATAAACCCATAATAACCCCTATCTAATCCTTATCTAATCCTTGTATAATTTCCCATATGGTTTTAAGGGATCTAATTTTTAGATCCCTTTGGGGGTCTGGGATGTTAGTCACCATACGTTATGTCTTGGTAACCCTAAACCCTCAACCCCCCTAGACCCCCCAAGTGGCCTCTATAGAGCCCAAATACCCCCAAATAGGACCTACATAGATCCCTTTGAAGGGTACTTGGGGGGTCCTGGTTCCAAACCTAAAGTTTTATCCCCAAGCCGCATCCAGTGGGTGCGGGGTCTTTTGACTGCCAGCGGTAATTGGAAAATCTAAGAGGGGAGAGCCTCATCCTAAACCCTAAACGCTGAACCCTAAACCGCTTAGAGCTAAGGGCCCCCTACATCCTGAACCCGAAAACCTGGCAGTAAACCTACTGCGAGGCAAGCCTGAGTAATCAGGCATACTGGGAATTAGGGTTTCGGGGGTGATATTGTCCCCTGAGAAACCTTATGTTCTTATAGTATGATGTATCCTTATGCTCTACTCCCACACAAGCCCTAAGACCCTAAACCCTAAACAATCATTTCAGCCCCTACAGTAGGCTTCAAAGTGAAGACAAGGATTCGAGCTCACCACGCCTGTGGCAGGAGTCCTTGTGACAGGCCATGGGTTTCGGGTTCAGGGTTTCGGGTGTAGGATTTAGGGTTTAGGGTTCAGGATTGAGAATTTAGGGATTAGGCTCCAGTCTATAGGGCCGAGGCTTAGACGTTAGGGTTCAGAGGAAGGGTTCAGGGTTGAAGGCTTCCAGAACTTATTCATCTGTTCTCACATAAACCCTAAACCCTACCCCCTAAACCCTACACCCCTTCAGTACTTCTATTTTCTGTACATGTAGAACCTCCTACAGGCCTTGGGATCTAAACCATGCTGAGCTAGAGGTTGAGGAGCCGCGGCAAAATCATTAGATATTTGGGGCTTAGGGTTTAGGGTTCCCAGACAGATGTCACGCCTTCCTTCAAATGGCGGTCTGAATGACGTGCTAGGTCAGATTCCTTTGGGGTTGCCAAGCCGGCGCTGAAACCCATCCTAAGCCCTAAACCCAAACCCTGAACCCCAAACCTAAGCCCTAAACCCTAAGCCCTTAACCCTAACCCGTAAACCCCAAACCCTGCTGTAGTGGGGCCTGCAGCAAGGGTTGGATTTCAGTATAGGCCAGGACCTCAGTTTCCATTTTATTTTCCATGTTCTTTTCCATTTGATTTTCCATAGTAGGGCTTATTAAGGGGGATGCTAGGAGTTTAGACCCTAAACCCTTTACTATGCGGTTCTGAAGGGCGATACTAGGACTAGGAGTTTAGACCCTAAACCCTAAACCCCAAAACTGCTGGGTTTATTAAGGGGGATACTAGGAGTTTAGATTATAGCTTGAGTGCCAGCCGTCAGCACCCCTGGATCAGCCTCACTCCTTGGCACTTAGCTTGGACCTTAGACCCTTTAACTTTTTGGGATCCCCTTATTACCCTAAACCCTAAACCCTAAACACTTATGGGTTATTCTCACAATTATTGGCCTCTTTTGGGTATAGATTATGTTTCGGCACCTAATATTTAGGGCTACCAAATTGGGACCTTCATAGGGACCTAAAAATTTAGGGTTTAGGGTTTAGGGTTTAGGGGTTTTAAGTGCCATGGTGCTCAGGTGCTCAGTGGCGTATAGCAACACATTGCCTCTGGCCTTGCCAACTGCTGCTCCTATGGATCCTCCTATGTTGCTGCCCGCTGCTGAGCCCACTTTCCATTTCATTCCATTTGATTCTCCAGCGCTAAACCCTGTTTACATCCCTATATAGCCCTATTTCAAACCCTATAACCCTAAACCCTAAACCTTTGAAGGAACCTCCATAGTGTTGGCAAGCCCCTAAGATTATTAGGAGATAGTGATGGGGATCTCAGGGCTTGGCAATAAAGCCATTGTCCCTGCTCAGGGTTTAGGGTTGGGCAGGGAAAATCAGGTGATAACTGGGAGTACATAGTGGTTTATGGAAATGTATGCAACCCGAATAGTGGGGACTCAATGGAACAGAGAATGGAGAATGACATACCCTAAAACCTGAACCCTAGAAACTCGGACTTATGGGGATGTGTGTAGTGGCTTAAGCCCTTGGCCCCAATCCTGCGAATGGAAACGCCCACATCCAATAATCTTAGGCCTCTACAGCGCCCTAAACCCCCTCAATAAGCCCTATAGGGTGTAGGGTTTAGGGCCTAAACTCCTGGTAACCCTAAGCCCTTAATCCTAAACCGCTCCTGACACTTAATCCCGAGCTTCCACACCCTCATCCCTCAATAGCCTTGAATCCTATTAGGGCCACAGCCCATACCTGCCGGGTTCAAGCTCCTGACCCTCCTTTTCAATTTGGAGGGCCCGCCCTACAAGAAGCCCGAAAAGGAAGAGGCGGCCATGACGATGAGCCACGGCACAAGCTGGCAAGCAGCGGTGGGCATCGGCCTCTATAAAGGAGGTCTTGTCGGGCCACTGGGATGTTGACAA